TCGATTCTATCATGTTTTTTGTAAATTTGATTGATTAAATTTCTAACGTAACCTAAAAGATAGATACAATGTGTTGACATATCACTTTTTTCTATCAACTTTAAGATTTTTTCTAAAACAAAATTTACAAGATTACGATAAATATAATTATCTTTGTAGACTTTGTAACGTAATTTATAATAACAATACTCTCGTAAGATATGTAATTTGAAGTTCACAACATAGACAAAATAGTGCTCCTTCAACAAACTCTTGTAGCATGAACATATTTTGTTGAAGTTTTTAACGAATATCGACTTGTATGTTTTGTATTTTCTCGAGTTCGGTTTTGGAGATTCAAGACCACAATTCTCGACAACCTTTTGCCAGAAAGAATGCTCATCAAGAACTTTTTGCCAAGTTTTACAGACTAGCGAGCATCTTTGAAAGGTATACAGATCAAAAATGTGGTTAAAAACAAGATAAATAGGGTGAACAAATTCATCCTCAAATTCGATCAAAGGATTTCTCTTTTGTTTCATCTTTACCGATTATAAAATTTACAACCATTATTTATAAACTTGAAAATTACCAAATTTGGTTTCCATATTTGGTAATTTCTTGATCAACATGGAAGAATCGTACTAGAAATCAATGTTTCTATCGTATTTTTAAATAAAAATTATCTTCAATAAATACATTTTATTTGTTTAAAATATTTTTAATACTTTCAACTAATGTTTTTCATCTACAACCAATATTTCTGAACACACACTTTGATGCCAAGTACTAGCATCCTTAGTTAATGGATTACTTTTTAATTTTTTATTATTATAAACTATTACACCTAATGAGTCTTTAAAATGTCCAATAGAAGCAGATTGCATCCTTTGAATCACATCAATACCTATTTTAGACATTTGATTTTTACATTGAATGATAATTAAATTCTTTTTATAAGATACAAAAATATCGCTACCAAAATCACCTGGTCGACATGAAACTAATTGAGCTATAAATCCATTATTATTTAATAATTTAACAATTATCTTTTCAAAATCATGACCAATTTTATAATTTGTTTTCTTCTTTTTAACTACAACCACCTTTTTCTTGTTTGTTAAATCCGTTAATTTTTTTAATCTTCTTTCAAACTTCTTAAATTTAATGCTAATTTCTTTATGATTAATTCCAATAAATATTTTATCGTTTGAATTGCAAAACATTTTAAATTTTATAATATTAGTTTTAATTTTTTTTAAATCTTTAAAAAAATTTAAATTGTGTTTTGCTTTTTCTTGATAAATTACAGGAAAATAATCGTATTGTTTATTTGTAATTTTCAATAAATTTTGATGTGGTATCAAAATGTCATCTTGAAAAAATAAATTAATACAAGTAGAAATAGTATCATCTCGACGAATTTTTTCATAAAAGATATATTCAAAATTTATAATATTAAGTTTTTTTTTAATATGTTCTAACAAAATTTCAACAGTTTCTTCAAAAGAACATTGAAATTTATAAAATTCAAGATATAAACGTTTAGTTAACATTTTAAAATTATTTATTAGAAAATCAGGTTATGGCTATATTTATCGATATTTTTAGTCATCAAAAATTTGATATGCAGTCGATACCACGAGCAGGTAAATATCAAAATCGACCAAAAAACAGAAATAAAGAGCCAAGATTTCAGGGGAGATCTGGATTAGTCCCCAAGCTTTCTGTGACCTGAAAGTAGCAAATCATTAAAGATTTTGAGATTTTTACGTCTCGTTCCCGTAAAGAGAAACTACCAAGACCTTTCTTTACGCTCATCCATTTTTAAAAAGTTTGA